ACTAGATTGGACTCATAGTGATCCACCTGTTTACAGCCTCCCAAGAGCTGGGATTACAGGTGCACACCACCACGCCCAGTCTCAATTGCCATCTCAGGGGGACCCGGGGTCAGGGCCAGTATGGCATGCCCAGGGATAGAACCTCCAGCCCCTGCGCCTGCTTGCAGGCACTTTAATCTGAATTGTGTAAAAGCAAAAGTCACTCAAACTGTGGTCCTTCTGTGTTACTCTCTTCAAGGAGAAAGCAAGAATGACCATCAACAGCAAATAGCAGTTGCAGCAAAGCAATGTTGAGAGCTGGCTTCACACTGAGGAAGGAACAGTATGCCTCCTTCTCATGGTTTCTGGTACTCTACACAATCAGAGAAACTTTTCTAGTAACATACTATAGAATTGATCCCTGGAAGTACAGTCTTCACAGCTAACTTTACGTATGCCAATTTTGAAATGCTTAGTAATTTCAACTGTCTGCCTTATTGTATACCAGAATATATGAAATATATGGAATATATTGTATATAGGAATATATGTGTGTTAGTCTTCAATACAATGTTTACAAAGAAAAACCAAAGCAAAGGGCAACAAAAGCCAAGCAGACTCCTTTTATGCTTTTCATTGGATAATACTGGGACACATAGCAACTTTGCCCTGACACACCCATGAGGTACCAGCCAATCACAGAGCAGCCACATGCTCTTTGCTCATGCTATGGGGAGGAGGTGGTGGCCTTCCAGAGCAAGCTCTCTCCTGCTGCCTGCTTCCTTCAGCTTTGGCTTGTTCCCAATGACACGGGTCCCTGTCCTTTGGGTTAGCCAGGTCCAGGTTACCCAAGAGGTCCCACTGATGTCTCTGCATACTTCTTGGGGTCAGAGTTAAGTGTCCTCGCTGATGTTCTTGGAGGAACATCACAAGTTAGACACAGCACACCAGGAGCACCATGCAGACCTACCTCCCATAACCCCTTGCTCAGAGAGTCTACATGTCAGGGCCAAGTGTGGCAAAGAAAACTTGATATATTCATTTGAGATTTGCTTCACCTGTGAACTGCTGGTTCAGGGTTGCCTGTGACTGTGTTACCACCCTAGGGCACATTTGGCAATGCTCAGCAACTCAACTTTACATAGTACCTCAGTGCTGCCTAATCTCCAGCTAATTCCAAAAAGCAGAAGGACATTCATCAGTGCACACAGCACCACACTGCAGTGTGTGGCTGGCCAAAGGAACAGCTTCACTGGTCCCCCAGACTATACCCCACACAGCAGGAGTCCCCACAGTCCAGGATTTAGTTGTCAGAAATGTTAATGCCTAAACAGCAGAGAGATAGACGGCTCAGGCACACTCTCGCATTAATCAAGCCGCCAGAGCCTGAGACAGAGAGAGAGATAAGTGGTAGATCAGATAAGACGTTCACATATTGTAAGAGAGTGCATTAGCCAAGCTCACGGAGATTGACATATGACATAGAGATACACAGCCCAGTGTCAATACAGGAGTCAGAGGCTTATTGCAAGTATTGTGGTATTTTTTCCATTTGCAACCAGTGTATATGGGAAACCTCATCATCAGAATGCAAATAGGTCACCCCCCCCAAAAAAAATAAAAGAATAAGAACTGGGGGATTTTTTAAAAGTCCCTCTTGAATTAGTTTGTAGCACCACCCACTGGATAGGTAGGTTCTGGCCAAAGCAACTTTATTCATTCATTCATTCATTCATTCATTCATTCATTCATTCATTCATTCATTCATTTTGAGGCTGCTTTCCATTGCCCCTGTGTCACAAAACTGCTACTTTTTGCTTCAGCAACTCTTTCCTGAACTGAGTTGTGAAAGACAAGCTGAGTCCTTGAAATCTACATGGGAATAAAGCACTGCAGGTAAGGCTGGCCCTACCCCTGCCCTGCACTGAGCCATTGAGAGAGTCCAGGAGGGCGTGGTGGCACTCCCTGTAATGCCAGTGCTAGGGAGGCTAAAAAGAGGAGCATCACCATGAGCCCAGTCTGAGTAGCGAGACCCTGTACCAAATACACTAATGAATAAATAAATAAATAAAATAAAGCACTTCAGGTGGACAGAACAGCGGGAGTGGAGAACCAGGGACCTAAGAAGGCGTCCAACGCTGCCTGCACGCTTAGCACAAGTGATGTGAAAAGCAAAGGAAAGGGGGAAGCACCAGAAAAGAGGCATGTGGATGACGAGATTCATCTATTCCAGAGAATACAAAGATAGCAAATAAAGTCATGGCTCTTGGAGGGACAGGCCACTAGAAGGAGATGTAGGCAGAGAGAGGAAGAAAACGCAAAAGGTGTGGAAACTGGATAGGTATGAAATGTCCACAGAGCACAGCTCCAGGGCCCATGGACTCCACGGCTCAGCCTGGCTCTGTATTGGGTAGCAGCGAGGAGGGCTGCGGCTTCTACTCACCATCTGTAGCTGGCCATGAGGTTTCCCAGGCCCTGTGCATCGAGAGCACTATGGGAGGTGTGCGATCGCCTTTTACTTACCTGATTTTTCCTCTAGCTTCGTCAACAGCACCTACATATGATGAAGTACTTTCATCTCAGGGGGAGCCATTGCCAAGTGAATGTAATGAGAATTTGAGGATTACTGAACCCACACCAAAAATCACTCGTATTTATCCAAAAGTGTATGATTATGAAGAAAATACATACCTTGGGAATCAATACTTGGATGTTAAAATCCATCAAATGTCATTTTACTCATCGTGCCCAAGTGTCTGTCCAAAATGATTCTAAGGACTGTGACATCGCTATCCGTCGAATGCCAGCATTATGCAAGGATGCATAAACAAGCTTCCAAGAGAAATAGTGGCACATAAATATGTCTCCACAAAATGTGCTTCAAATTTAGTAGTTCTACATTCGCAAAATACACAAGCTTTTAAAGGTTCCATTTTGGGCCAAGTCTCTTTTAAAACCACAAGATAATTTTTTCTTCCTTAGAGATAGAGTGGAGTCCTTCCCTGAGGCCCTTAGTCAGTGATGATAGCTAGAAGCTCGGATTACCACAGCTACAACACCCAGACTGAGGCAGAGGAACCCTGCCCGCCCATGCTGCTAGGCCAGGGAGGCCCCCTCGCGTCTCCCAGGGGCTCTTGGGCTGCACTTTCAGGCCGCGTTCTCTAGATCCCCTTCTCTCTCTGTGGGTTGGCTCATCTGGAGTTGATGAAGGCAGACGTGGTTGCAGGCCAGGATCAGCTCTTCCAAGCGCTCCTTGGACACCTGGGGGCCGGCCACCGCGTGGGTGGCTCCATTTCTCACCCCGCAGAGGCTTGGCTCTCATTCTCCCAAGCTAATCCTTGTCACCACATCATACCCACCGTTCAGCCTTTTCCCTCTCTTGTTGAGGGGAAACATATTTTTCCATTTTTACTCGGCAAAGTAACAATCACTCTTTATAAAAAAGAGGATTCCAAGAAGTTAGATATTTTTTAAAGTTCTAATTAACTAACCGTAGAGAGAAAGGAAGAAGTTTCTCCTTTATGAAACACCTGAAGTAGAAATGAATGCCAGCAATGAGTAGATGAAGCTTTCCCCGACCAGAACATTGCCAGTTCACTGGGTTCTGCTGGGTGCACGTGGCTGCTCAAGGGTGACAACAAATGCAATCCTTGTCTGATGGCCCAAAGCCACTCTCTTCCTCCAGGCCCCTGATCCTTCTCTCCCTCTCTACCCTTGACCTCAGCTTCTGTAAAGAAAAAGATGATTAATTCTATGTAATGCTAAAGTCTCCCCATCCCTAAGAAAAATTTGAAACTATATACACCCACATGCATACACAGAGCAGCTCTGGGAAGAAGACAGAAAACTGTTAGAACACCGGTAGATGCCTGCCCATGGTCTCTACATGGCCCCAGGAGGAAAGAGAGCACCCAAGGGAGCTGCAGGGATTGGAGTCAGGTTCACAGCAGGCGGGGGCAGCCAAGGTGACTGAGTGGGCCATTTGGGCAGAACTGAACTCCCATTTCTTGTTCTGCTTCTGGATCTACAATGGCTGCATGAGATTGTGTACTGCCCTGGTCTGTAAGTGTTGGAGGGTGTGGATTCTCCCAGTCAGCAGGAACCTCCCAGACAGAATTGATTATGCTCTGGGGGATCCCTAACCTTCACGATCATGTTGCACTATGAATCTCTGTGACCGATAGTTTTGTCTACTAGGGCCTCTTCCAAAGGCAGCATCTCGCCAGAGGTACCTCTTGGGGACTTGTGATGGTCACCTTCCTGACATGAGCAACAGGTGCATCCACATGAGGAAACAGCGATGCGCTTGACATGGTGTTCCCAATGGAATGGAGCACCTGACCCATGGGAACCTTGTGGCTCCCATATTCTACCCTTGGCTTAGGCCAACTAAAACTCAGTAACTAACAAGATGAGAAGACTCCCACGAGCTCCACAGGTCAAAGAAGACCGACACCAGCCTGGCCCCAGCAAAATCTTGGCTTTGTGTAAAAAGTAATAGCCATCCCTTGAGGGGCAATGTGATCTCCATTCTGCTCAATGAGGTCTTTATTTCCCAGAGTTTCCCTAAAGCGTCTGGGGCAGTGTTGCTGATGGTTGGACTGCATTGAAGCATAAGAGAATCTACTAGGCTAGTGGCTCCACGGCAACCCTCCACCCATAGAGCCAGGCTGTGTTGGCTTTGCTCAGTGGACAGGACTCAAAGCCATTCTCACAGCCCTGGCTGATATTATCTTTGATGAACCATATTATATGTTTCCCGACTCTTGGTCTATGGCCAATGGCTTAGCTATGTAGTCTGCCATTTGGAAACATATAGACTGGCAGATTAAAGACACCCTGCTTTGGCACCATGAAATGGGAAAACGTATCATGACTGCTAATCAAACCATCTGGGTGTCTGGGTCACTAGCATAGATGCCCAAGGTAGGCACCTGTGCTCTGATGAGACCTGAGGGAATCCAGCTTGTGGTGAGAATTGCCACATCCAGACTGCTACCATCGCCACGTAGACCTTCCATCTTCCTGGACCCAGCATTCTGTCTGCCACTGTGGAGCCTGAACAAAGGAAAGGCCTCTATGTTTCCAAGGCAGAAGTTACCAGGACATGTCAGACTTGTGATTCCTGCCAGAGTTGATCGCAATAAGGAAGCCCACACTGTAACCCAGGAGGCTGCTCTGTGTCATGGTTTTGGCCTTTTGGATGATTTGCAGTCTGACCATAGTAAACCTTTTCTCATAAACACTACCCAGTTATTGGAGCAAAGTCAAGTATTCAATAGATCTTCCCCACCATCTCTGCACGCTGTTGCTGAGAGCTGGGAAGGTCTCCATAGATGTCTAACTTCACCTTCATCCTCTGCTCCTATCACTATGCCTTCATAAAGCAGTTTGTTGAATGTGGCTGGCCCTGAAGAGGATTATTTTCTCTCAGCTA